CCCCCCCCGGTCTTGCCAAGAGCTTCAGGGTTCAGGCAGGCCTTGAACTAGCTTTTGTAGTTCAGTCTGGTCTCCAATGCACAGCGACCTCCCTGCCTTCCCCGAGCGCTGGGATTCAGGTGTGCAACACCAAGCCTGGCGCCAATTTGTTTTGTATGTGTGATTTTACCATTTACACTCCTGCGGGCAATTTTATAGTATTTATACGGAGTCGCAGGTGTCATTAATTGTCAAAGGCCGCAGTGCAACTTCCCGCTTGGGCTCTTATCTTCCTTCACGTTTTCCCGCCCACTCAGCACAGCAGCCAGGAGTGCCACTAGCACTCCGCCCCACTCGCTAAAATGGCCCGCCCCTTCCTTACTTCGTAGCTATTCTACCCAATCATACGTAGCCTTCCTCAGCTTCGCCTTACGATTGGTAAATGGAAGCGTCCGTTGTGCTCGGGGGCGGGCGGAAAGAGCTGAAGGACGTGAAGACCGGCCACTGTGAGCAGCCACTGTGTGGTCTGCGTGGCGTGCGTGGCGCGCTGATCTAGAAGAGCTGGACCTGGGAGGTGTGCGAGTGCTGGCTGCGAGAGAGTTTGGCAGACATGGCTCCTACCGCACGGGCCGCCGAGTCCGAGTATCCTAAAGGCATCCGGGCCGTGCTGCTAGGGCCTCCCGGGGCTGGTAAGGGAACCCAGGTGAGCGTCCTGACCGCTCTCGGCGGCAGTGCCCGCGGAACCTCAAGGTCAGGGCGGGCGGAGATCCGGAAGTCCTTTCCTAGTCCAGGAGCAGACAATGAGCTGAGTCTAAGGGGACCCTGGTCAGGGTCTCAGATCCTAGTAAGGTGTTTGGGGAAGAGTCCAAGAGGGTGGGCAGGGAGGCGGGGCAGGGGTGGTTTGGGTTGGATTTGGAGACGCAGAGATGCAGACTTAAAGTGTCTTGTTAGATTTTTAAAAATATTAGGTGGGCCACTAAGGGTTAGAGGTTGAAAAGTTTGGAGAGTGGGATGAACACGAGATTGGGGCGCTATATTACAGGCTGACTGGAGAAAAAATGATGACCCAGTTTCCCAGCGAGTTGGGAGTGAATTGTCCAGAGTCAGGGTTATGTTCCAGACACTAGGGACAGAGCTTTTTTGATAATGATTAATGACTGGGGATGAAGGAGCATATCCTACACGTGGGGCAGAGTGGGAGCTGGGGTGTGCTGACGAATGGTACTGCCAAGAGGAGTGAAGGTCTGACCTGTGTAAGTCGCAGAAAAACCTACGGAGCTCCCTGTTCATCTTTTTTTCTTTTTTTTTTTTCCATAATTGTATTGAGAAATAGTGAAACAGTTTCAAACTAAATTGGTAGGACAGTTTCAATAATTAACACATTGTATACATTCTTCCTAGTTACCTGTTCATCTGAAAAGTGCAAGTGGATGCTTTGATCTGGTTGGCCGCCTTTAGAGCCACATAGGTTCTGAGTCTCAACCTTTGAGTAAGCGCCCACATTAAAGGTTAGAAATGTGTACAGGCTCTCAGCTTCCAGTTGGAGGCTGAACACCTGAAGATGATTTAGATGATTTTTAGGTGAGAGGAAATTTGAAATTTTAATTTATTAAATCAACAGGTAAGAAAACAGGCCCCCTGGGTTTGGTAGCTAGCATACCGTGTAATTCCAGCACTCTGGAGGCTGAGGCAGGAAAATCACTGAGTTGGAGGCCAGCCTGTCTATATGATGAGATTAAGACCAGCCTGGATTACAGAGCAAGACTCTTTCTCAGCAAGAAAAAAGAAAACGGGCTGGGGAGGTGGCTCAGTAGAATAAGTGTTTCCCTGGCAAGCACAAGGGCATGAGTTCAATCCCCAGTTCCACCAAAAAAAAAAAAAAAAAAAGAAGAAGAAGAAGAAGAAGAAAATAGACCCAGAAAAGTGAAGCAGCTTTCCTAGTTAGTGAAATTGATTTCACAGGGCCTGGAAGGAACCTCAGGAAACTTGGTCCTCCAGAGGGTTGGAGTCTGAAATTGCCTTCTGTCCCAACAGACTGCAGTTCCTTACTTAGGATCTGAGCCCTTTCCAGATTTAAGACATAATGAGGCCACAGGTCAGGTTTGGGTTTATGATCTGATTTAGGATTTGGAAGCCCCCATAGGTTGAGATATTAATGTCCCCTTCCTGCCTGGAGGTTAGCATGTCCTCCTAGGCCCTAGGATTTGGGCTGTTCTTCATCATTAAGCTTTATAAAGGGGAATACCTAAAAGTGTGGGCTTCTCAGTGAGTGGGGACTGCTCTGTGCCCCTGTTTTTTACTTGGCACTTGATGGGGCTGTTGGAAATGAATGAATGATGCATGTTACTTGGCACTTGATGGGGCTATTGGAAATGAATGAATGACGCAGATTAATGTGGGTGGTGAGGAGAAAGCAGGTCTGAAATGCTTGGTTTGTTGCAGTGACTTTGCTTTCTGCCTCTGTTACTAGGTCAGGAAAGACCACTTTCCATTTTCTCTCCATAAACTGAGCTGATCCTTCCTGGGCTGTACCAGCATGCTTTATACACAGTGATGTTGACATCACCTCCCTTTTTTTGTTTTGGCCTCTTTCCTTTTGGTACCACCCTCAGTTATTAGGTAATGTGCAGCCTAGGGACATTTAAGACTTCGCAGATTTTTGGTATGAGTGACTAAGTGTAAACAGGGTAACTCACTTTTCCCCTTAGTTTATTTTTTTATCTTTATTTTATTTTTTATATATTTAGTACAGGGTCTTACTATGTAGATTGGACTCAGTGATTTTCCTGTTGTTGTTGTTTTTGGTGGAACCAGAGATTGAACTGAGGCCCTTGCGCTTGCCAGGGAAGTGCATATTCCACTGAGCTATCTCCCTGGCCAAAGAACTGAGCTAAGGGGCAGGCCCCCGATTCTCCTGTTTTCAGCTTCCCAAGTGCTGGGATTATAGGTGCACGGCACCACGCCCAGTCTCAGTCACTATCTCAGCGCACCCCAGGGACGGGGACAGGGCCAACTTGGCAAGCCAGGGATCGAACCCCAGCCACTGTGCTCTGCCTAAGCAGGTGCTTCAGTCTGCTGAACTATGTTTTTGGTCTTTTTTGACTTTACTGTATTTTTATGGTTGAATTGGTTTTTTGTGGGGGGATATTTTTTGTTTTTGATGTCAAGAACTGAACCCAGGGCTTCCAGCTTGCTAGGCAAGCATTCTACCACTGAGCCAGGGGCCGGGGAGAAGGCTCAGTGGAATAAGTGCTTGCCTGGCAAGTGTAAGGACCTGGGTTCAATCCCTGGTTCTGAAAAAAAAAAAAGAAAGAAAGAAAGAAAGAAAGAAAGAAAGAGAAAATACCACTGAGCCAAAATCCCCAGCCCTGGTGGAATGGACATTATGGATAGCCCATTCCAAAGCTAGGACAAGGACTTTTTAGTCTGACAAGCTGTATAACTTCTGATCCTCAGGGACGGGGAGATGGCTCAGTGGAATAAGTGCTTCCCTGGCAAGCTCAAGAGCCTGAGTTCAATCCCCGGTTCTGCCCCAAAAAACCCCCAAAACTTCTGATCCTCATTGTTCTTACCTGAAAAATGAAAAGTTCACAAGAATACTGGGAGATTATATTTTATATAAAGCACCCATGCATACCTAGATAACAGCCTGGCAGTGTGTGGGTGCTCAATGAATATTGTCCTCCATACCTTAGTAAGCACATCTTCTGCCTCCCAACTCTGATCGTTTTAGTGTGAGCGGTGATTTCTTCAGAAGTCTCGAAGAAAATTATGGCCTGATTTTTGTTGTTGTTGTTGTTTTGGTAGAACTGGGGATTGAACTCAGGCCCTTGGACTTGCTAGGGAAGCGCTTTTCTATTGATCCATCTCCCCGGCCCCACCTGATTGTTAAGGGTGCATGAATGATAGGAGTTGGTCAGAGAAGGTTTTGTGAAATAGAAGATGGGATTAGAGCTAGGATTTAAGGAACAGTAAAATTACACGAATCACTTGACCTTTATACACTTTCTGTACACGTTGGTAACTGTACGCATGTTTTTATGGAGTTGGAAAAAAGTACAGAAGTCACAGTTGCACAGCGGCCGTCTCCTGCAGGTTTAGCCTGCAGCCACAGCCCACACGCCCAAACTTTTTGTTAGGAGAAGGTGTCCCTCAGTACTGGGGATTGGACCCAGAGCCTCATTCACGCTAGGCAAGCAGTATAGCACTGAGCTCCATCCCTTGTCCTTTTTAAAAATATTATGTTGAGGGAGTCATGCATGGTGACACATACCTGTGATCCCAGCACTTGGAAGGCTGATGCAGAATGACTGTTGTGAGTTCAAGGCTAGCCTGGATTACATGGCAAGACTCTGTCTGAGTGAGTGAGTGGGTGAGTGAGTGAATGAATGAATGCTTACATTAATTTTGAGACTGAGTATACTGAGTTGTCCAGGTTCACTTCAGATTTGTGATCCTGCCTCTGCCTCCAGAGTAACTAGAATGACACGTGTGCACCATCATGACCAGCTGCGTTATGAACAGTTTTAAATACACAGATGAAGACTGAATGATATAATGAGCACTGCTATCAACTGGATTGCTTTTTTGAAAAATAAGTATAATATCCCCTAAAATATTAACAATTTTTTTTTTCTTTTTGGCAGAACCCGGGATTGAACTGAGGCCCTTGCGCTTGCCAGGGAAGCGCTTATTCCACTGAGCCATCTCCCCAGCCCCAATATTAACAATTTTTTTCCCCAATATTAACAATTTTTGATAGCAGTTATTATTCACATTTCCAATTGGTTCACAAATGTGATGATGGTTTTTAGTTTATTTTTTATTTATTTTTTTCTTTTTAGTTTATTTTTTTATCCTATAGTTTTTTTGAAAAAAGTTGTTCTGAGAATATTATCCCTCATTCTTGAAGTTTTCAGTTGTATCCTTGTGAAATGTTTAACATCTTTCTCTGTCCTCTCTGTTTCCTGTAAGGACTTAGTTTAGTCCAAACCCTTCGTCAGATTCAGGTTCAGCTTTTGGCTCTGCTGTCCAGTGGGAGGCACCTGATATCTGCTTGTCTCTGTCTGGGGTGTCTGGTCATTGCTGTTCAGTGCCTAGCTTCATCATTAGTTGGTTGCAAGTGACAAAATGGTGGTGGTCTAATTTGATCATTTCCCTGTTCATTTCTCTTTTTTTTGGCAGAACCGGGGATTGAACTCAGGCCCTTGAGCTTGCCAGGGAAGCACTTATTCCACTGAGCCATCTCCCCGGCTCCTCCCTGTTCATTTCTTAGGGAAATATTCTTTTTTTTTTTTCAGTGAAATATTTCTATAAAAAGAAACTCCACCTCCCCTATTTATGATTACCCGGGGGCCTGCCCCTTAGCTCAGTTCTTTAAGTGGCTGCTTCAACAAAGCAGTCAGGCTCAGGTTGCTGTGGTTCCATCCCCACAACACAAGCCAAACAAACCTTCCCTGAAGGCATTTGGAGCAAAAAAAAAAAAATCCCTATTTACACTTACCCAATAATACGGTTTATCTAGAAAAGGGAAGATAAATGCTTGATGTGCCAGCTTTTGAAATAATAAATTTATCATAGTTTTCAGTTGCAGAATTGCTCTAAGAATTTGGGGAAATTTCCCATTTCTCTTGAGAAATCAGATCTGGTGGCAGTGGGTCTCTGCTCCAGTGTGGCAGCAGTCACTTGCACCTCAGTAAAGTT